TAATTTGTACCGATTGTTGGCTTCAACAGTGCTAGCTATTGATTGCCGAAAGTTCATTCGAAACTGGGAATCAGTTTTGTACTCGTAACACAGATGAATCAATGAAATACACAAAGTAATTACAATCAGTATCATTTCTATCCCTGATTCCAAATGCTTTAGTTCTTTGTATGCAACGAGGCGAGGTGAAAATGAGATATTTTTGCCATTATGTATGGTCAGAACACAAATAGCATCAAGAAGCATCCTTGCAATAACATCAATGTAACATCCGAAGTTATAATCAGTTCTATTGCACTCAAAACAGACCAATTATCCTAACCACATCAAATATTGTATCATTACAGAAAGATTTCTCGTTGAGCTTCTCTTGTTTGGTCTGGTTTGATGTAAACACATTACTGGAGGAGAGATCTAGTAAGATGTTCGCGTGCTGTAGCCAATGCTTGGGTTATTGTCTGTAGAACACCAACTTTGTTAATATGGTGGCAGTAGTGATTCATATTCTTAGTTCTGCTTTATGGGGGGATGATAAGAAAGAGTGAAATTAAGTGTTGCATGTTTCAAGAACATGGATCACCATACCTGCTCGGACAAAGGAGCTCCGGCATCCATATTATGATTATCTACCTTTCCGGCGATAACATTTGCATCAGTTTCAAGAATGACATTGCCCATAGATTGAGGAAAAAGTCAAACACAGTGGTCGAAGAAGCATAGCAAGGGGGCAGTTGCTTCTAGTGACTCCACCTAATCTTCCTTTTCTCTTGGTTTTATATCCTAATCTCTATCGTTTTCTTTCACCGACAAATAAAGCAGAACATAAGTGAATAAAACACCTAAATGCTAATCTCGGTTTGAGCCAATCATAGGTTTAACCTACAGCATTTGGGGGATGAGGAGAATTAAGAGACATTTCCAGCCAAGATCTGTGGCAGAGACGCTTTAAAGAAACAAACGAGCAAAGAAAATGTCTACTCGAGATTCATGAAACGAAATTACTTCAGCTTCAACTATAATAATACAATGAATGGTAATTCATACCCGCCATCGACAATCTCATGAAGGCACAACAGAATAAGATCTAAATTCTCCAATGCCTCCTTCTTGTCCTCATTGCCTCTGGAACAAAGGGTAGCGAAAACAAGGGGAAATATGCTCAAGTTAATAATATCGAACACAAATGCATAAAAATGATTGTAATAGTAGAAAGTGATATGAAAGAACCTAAGGAGAAGTCCAACTGCATCAAAAAAACCCTGGAGAACTGTGGCCAAGATGATCTCATTTTCATTTTCACCACCAGTAACAAAAAAGTGAAGGTTTTGAACGAACTTGTACACAACAACATAGTTGTCAAACATTGTTATCTCAGCTGTAAAGAAAAACAAAAGCACCATGTTAAAATAGCAAAATATGAAACACCTAAACCAGTGCCAACCAAGAATGTCAGGTATGTGTACAAGCATGTTCACTTTTTTTTTTTTATTTTAAAAAAAGATCATATATGTGAAGGATGATATTCCCATAACCATATTCGAATGTGTGTCAGATACATAAGTTGGACATAGGTTATTAAAGAAAAATGAGGTCTCGCCGACTCGGAGTAACATAGTTTTCATCGAAAAATGAAAAAGGAAAACAATGTCTAGAACAATTTATACAAGGTAAACCTTTTATGCGCAAGAAAATAACCTTTTAAATTCTCAAATTTTAATGAATTGATTCACTCACTCACTCACACTCACAATCACATTGATCTACCTTTTGTAAATCTATACGATCTAAATACACACAACGGAATTAAACTAAATGTAATGAAGAATCAACAGAGGTAAACAAATCTACCTTCGGTTCGAGCATTAGTCTTCTGGGTTTTGGTAAACACAGCTCTCTCAAAGGTTTCCTTAGCAGAATTCGTTGGCCAGTCATTTGAATAATACTTAACAGCTATAAGTTTCCCTTCGGAATCCAAAAGAAGAATGTTCTTAATTGAAGGGCACAACTCCTACAAATAAGATGAATAAGATCAATGAATCCATCAAATATACTAAATTCAAATCTATTTTCTAGTTAAAATATTTTTTTAGCACTGAAGTTTAAGTTAAAGCCTTTGATTCGGTTGGATCTGAATCTAACTGTGAGTTAAAATCAAATGTGAGGCCTCTAAATTTATATCTGCCTTAGAGAAAACTAAATATAGCTAAAGCAGATCTTGAAAACACAAATTAGAAAGAAACAAAAGAAAAACTTGTAGGTTCGTGCAATGCGAAAATGAAAGACTTGTGTAATTGAAAGAGCGAAAGAAGGCTAACCATTTGTTCTTCTTTTTTCCTTTCGTTTGGCGAGATTTTCTCGGAAAATATCGGGATTTTCGTTCGACAAATGCACTCTTTCTGAAATGCATGATTTTCATAACCGGACTGGTTAGTGAATCGGTCATGCTATCAGTTTATTGGTTTAATCGGTTGAACCAGTTTGATAGGTCGGAAGAACCGGACGACGTCATAATTATTTAAAAAATTAAATAAAAATATCAAAAATATTTAATAAAAAATAATTTTTTATATCACAATTTATATTCAAATCAAGTCATAACATATATAAGTTAAAAACCATAAAATCAAGTGAAACAAAATGATTCAAATTAACTACAACATAATATTTAAGATAAAACATATAAATAATAAATATAATTATATAACTATAATTAAAAAATAAATTTGGTGCTAAAAAATATAACAAAATGATATTGTTTGGTTTAATTTTTTTTTAAAAACAATCTCACATGACTAAGAAACATAGAAGAACAAATAATAGAGGTAATTTGACATTCAAAATCATGAAGCCTTTTGGTGAGCATTGAGTGAACTATTATTTCACTTCAATCAAGCTCGAATTTTAGGCTTCAATCGAGCTTCTAAATTTTTTTTGAGTTCAAGCCTTTTCGAATTCAAGTTTCAATATTATATTTCTAGTTCGAGTTAAACTTGATAATTTTTAGCTCGTGAGTTTGAGTCGAATTGAGCTTACTTTTAAATTTTTCAAGTTGGAGTCGAGCTCAGCAATACTCGAGTTCGACTTGGCTCGTTTAACAAACGACATCGTTTGATTTAATTTTTTTTAAAAACAAAATTGACGGTTTTTCCCGATTTTTTTCAGTTTTCAGCCGGTCCGGTTTGAACGATTCAACGGTTCCGACCAGTTCACTAGTAACGATTCAACCGGTCTAGATTAAACCGAACTATACAACGATTCTCGGTTAAACTGGTTAAACCAACCGGTCCGGTCTGATTCGATTCTCAAAACACTTCTGAAATGTGACTGCGGCGATAGATAAAAGGATGAGGAAAGATTGGATTTGGCATAAATAATTAGCACTAAGATCTAGTTTATTTATTTAACACATTGATTTTTAAAAAAAATAAACTTATTAATCTATTAATCCGAATCAAATACGATAACTATTTATTATATATCTAACATTTTCAATTCTATTTATTTCATCACAAAACTAAATATAGAGTTATATTTGCTTTTAAGGGTTGATTATGTAGAAGTTTAACCTGAAATAATGATTAATAAAATAATTAAGCATGTAATGTATTAATAAAAAAACATTGATTTAATTATGATGGATATTAATTCCTCACTTAAAAGAACAATTTTTTGAAAATATATTTTTTAGTTTTTAATATATTAATTCTAAAATCACAATATCTTTTGTAATACTAAATTTAATCTCTACCATTTATTCATTTCTTCACTTTTTGATGTTTATTTTTCTTAATTAATATTTAAAATTTTAGTGATGTTGATTTGATAGATTATTTTTTTAGTACATCAAGGATTGACGCCTATAGCCGAGATTCTCGGCGTGGTTTCTCCTCTGACATGTGTCTTCAACAATAAATTAACTTTTTCGAAGGATTCGTCAGTATCAAATATGGCTGATGCACTAAGCCTCGTAGGGTTAACTGTATCTTATTTTATAAAATTGGTTAAATTTAGTTTAATATGTTAAGAAAAGAAGGAAAAAATTATAATTTTTACAAATTTATTATTTTTAATAAAAAATTTAAAATTTTTAATTCTCATTTTTTAATTTCTGGATCCACCACTGGTCAGTATGTTTGTACATTCCTCTCGTTCATTCGCCATATTCGTGAGAAAGTCTCACGTGTGACTAATTTAATATACAGTTAAACAAATATTTTGATTTTATTATTATTTTTTAACAAAATCGATAAAAATTACTTGAAATATTATTATTTCTATCGGTTTTATTATTATTGAACACTTTACCGATTTCGTTAACATATTCCGTAAAATGTTACCGATTTTATTATTTTTTCTACCGATTTTGTTATTATTAAACACTTTACAGGGAATTTTAAAAAATATTGATATTTTAAATAAAAATAATAATGTTTTAGAATTTTTTTTATCGATTTTATTAAAAAATAATAATAAAACATATAACCTCTTTTTTTTAGTAGTATATATAACTTCCTCATATTCGTCAGGCAGTCTACGTACTTATCTTCACGCCAAATGTGTCCAACTTCACTTACCCTTTCATTGCGTATCTTCCTTTACCATCATATCAGTTGATTAAAAAATAATTAAATTTAACTATTAATATTGGTCAAAAATATGAATTAAATAAAAATGTCAAAAAAATTGATAATTTAATTATTACTTTTAAATTTACTAAGACTTTCTAACATCTTTAACAAAAAATTAAAGGTGTTCAAGGGTGGGATTACTGATTAGAGCTGAATTTAAAAGCGAAATATGTGGGCCAGAGTGGACTTTTTTTTTTGTTTCATTACGATCTTACGTACTCGCATGTTCAATGACTTTTTACTATATTAAAACTGTTCCAAAACAAGAAATCATCTCGATCCTCTGGTGCGGAGTCAAATTTGTGGCTTTTCCTTTTTAAATTTCTTGTGTTCTTCGTCTTTCTCTTTGAATCTTCAATTTTTCTTTCATTTTTCACAGTCGATCTTCTTTTGTTCATATGGAATATGATCCATTGTTACCGTTTCCAAGTCCCAGAAAACGAATGCCGCCTTCGAAACTCCATTTCCCTTCTCTAGCCGAATCATTATCGTCGTCGCTCAACACGCCGAGACAACGTTCATCGTCGTCGGAAAACATCCCGACCCTCCACGAATCTTTTTTACTTCAAAACCAACCGGATTCGCCGATGGCACCGGACCCGAACATCGCTTGGGAGAGAATCAATCTTCACAGGTGCAAAACAGCACCGGCAATGGCTGTTCTAATGGATGCCATCAACAACAACCCTTCGATCCCGACGCCAAAGTTCGGCTCCGAATCGATTGTAAGACAAGCTTTTATCCTTTTAGTATTGTACTTGTCGTTGGGCGTCGTTATATATTGGTTCAATCGTCATGATTTCTTGGGTCCCAAGACACATCCTGTTGTTGATGCTTTGTATTTTTGCATCGTCACTATGTGCACGATTGGTTTTGGCGACATTACCCCTAATAGCACGGCTACGAAGCTGTTCTCGATCTTGTTCGTGTTGGTCGGTTTCGGATTCATCGACATTTTGCTTAGCGGAATGGTTGGTTATGTGCTTGATTTGCAAGAGGAATATATGTTGAAAGCTGTTCAGCATGATGGAAATAGAAGGGATTTACCAACGTCTTATATAATTGATGTTAAAAAGGGGAGAATGAGGATAAGGTTGAAGGTTGGATTGGCATTAGGTGTTGTTGTTCTTTGCATTGGAATTGGTCTTGGTGTTATGCATTTCGTTGAGAGGCTTGGCTGGTTGGATTCATTTTACCTTTCAGTTATGTCGGTAACGACCGTAGGGTACGGTGATAGGGCGTTCAAGACGTTGCCTGGTCGGATTTTCGCTTCCATTTGGTTGCTCGTTTCTACCGTGGCCGTTGCTCGAGCATTTCTGTATTTGGCCGAGGCTAGAGTTGCTAAGAGGCAAAGGAGGATGGCTAAGTGGATTCTCGGGCAGGACATGACTATATCGCAGTTCCTTGCTGCTGATACCGACAATAACGGTTTTGTAAGGTATGCTGTCGTTATGAATTTCAGTTAATGATCTAACTGCGCATCTCCTATGTTTCGAGTTGTCGTATGAGATTCATGTGTGGATTCGGACACTTATAGTAGTTTACCCCTTTTCCCCAAAAACTTACCGTCTTTTTAGTTCATTAGCTGACCTTTTTGGTGTATTGGAACCGATACTGAAGCTTGGCGAGTGTGAGGGAAATACTGTTCCGACATCTGCTCTCCATGGTACGATCTTCTCAATCGAATTAAGATAACCATCTTCACTTTTTATTACCCTTTTCTTGACATGTTCAAACTCAGTACAATGATGTCCGGAATAATACATTTCTTTTGCCTAGAACAGATTTGAAAACTGTGTTTTTATCTTATAAACGAGGGCCATTGAGATAAATTGATACATTTCAGCATCTGTTCTCTACAGTATGATCTTCCCTGTCTAATTTCGATAACCATCTTCTCTTTTCATTATCCTTTTCATGACATGTTCAAGATAATGTCCCGAATGGCATCTTTCCGAAGCCTAGAACAGATAACAGAACTGTGTTTTTTCTTATATATGAGGGCCTCTGAGATATATAGATACGGTTTCAACATCTGCTCTCTGGAGTATGATCTTCTCAGTCGAATTATGATAACCATCTTCTCTTTTCATTACCCTATTAATGACATGTTCAAAGACAGTAGGATAAGGTTCCGAATGGTACAACTCCTAGGCCTAAACCAAATTACAAAACCCTAAACCAAATTACAAAACTATGTTTTTTCTTATATATGAGGGCCCTGAGATACATTGATACAGTTTCAAAATCTGCTCTCCAGAGTACGATCTTCTCAATCGAATTACGATAACCATCTTCTCTTTTCATTACCCTTTTATTGACATGTTCAAGATAATGTCCCGAATGGTATCTTTCCGAAGCCTAGAACAGATTACAGAACTGTGTTTTTTCTTCCATATCAGGGACCTCTGAGATACATTATGGTACTTTGATTCAATGGTTTATTGAGGTTGTTTGCGGTTTTAAGATTCTGGTCTGTTTCGGATTATCTTTCTCGATGCTCACCGGATACAAAGCGTGATTTATTTCGCATCATACGTACTTATGGTTTGCTGCTTCATGACACTTACTCTCAAATTCCATTTTCATCTCCACTGCTAATTCATTATCGAGTTTAATATCGGTTTAATTATGCAGCAAATCCGAGTTCCTCATATACAAGCTCAAGGAATTAGGGAAGGTATCAGATAAAGACATTATGCAGATCTCCGAGAAATTCGACAGGCTTGATGCTGGCAAGTGCGGAAGGATAAGCCTTGAAGATCTTAAGAACAGTCATCGTTAGTATGCAAACTACCCTTGCTTAAAAAGATCTTCGTTTACAATACAAATGATGGTGCAATAGGAAGAGTCATGGATGACATTAAATCATTGAAGTGGAGCCGATTCGTTCTTCAAATTCAAGGCAAGCATCGGTGTTTATACGAACCTTTATTCATGTCCGGTTCGAGCTTTCGTGCATCCGTGCCGATGAATCGTCGGCTGTTCTGATTTAATGTCTTTCTTCTTTGTTTAGGATTGAAACAGGCCAATGCATAGTTCAGCAACTTGACTCATGGTTGCCTTGAAGAAATGGAATGGACAAGTCTTCCTTCTGGTAGCATATATAATGTATATAAGCACATTGGGATTTTAGTTTTCTTAAGTATTTGTATTTGATATTTGTATGCTTATACATATTCGGATATGATATAAAAGTATATGATTTTTTAAATATATTAAAAAATTATCGCACATATTTTTATCCGACAATTATATTAAATTTAGATAATTTAGTTTATCCTACCACGTCTTATTCAGCTTTGTTCTTTGTCTATTATCATTAGACCACATAACTTTACCTATTATTATTATTTGCTGCAATATTAGTTAAAAAAATTCAAAAATCTCCTTTTAATTTAAATTAAGAGTCGTTCATTACAATGATAACACGAACCAAAAGATATCAATGGTTAAAAGATGGTTGTTATCACTAAAAATTTCAAGTTCGAGCACGATGTTTGTAGGAATGTTTGAACGTTCATTGTCAAATGGTTGAAGTCTTTTAAACATATATTACCTTATAATAATTGTTTACATCCTAAAAAATTAATAGATTGAATCCTAACGTTAAATCCTAACCTTATGAATAGAAAAAAATTAAATTCAAAGAATCACTATTATAATAATTCAAATTATTCAATTAATAGATTGAATAATCGTTATAATGTAAAAGGCATCATGACAAAAAACATCTTTAGTTAACTAACATTAACCCCTAACATTTCATTTTGCATTAAAAGATTGTTTAATTGGATTAAAATCATTAGTTAATTAACATTCAATTCATGAAGATGACATGATAAATTTATATGACATCACACGATGACATGATAATACCACATATACAAAAATAATGATGTGACATTTGTATTTGTCTTTTATCGAACTATGTTATTGATATATTTAAATCAGTTCTACATCATTTAAGCAAAACGGAAAGAACCAACAAAGCAAAGTTGTTACAAAAACTTACACCATGAAATTGTAATAAATAAAAGTATAAAAGTGAGATGGGTTTTACCAGACATTGTGGATTGAAGCCATGGAGAGCGGTTTGAGCCGTTGTGATGACTTTGGGTGGTGGGTGGTTTCGGGCCTACACAAAGCTGCTGGAGAAATTGTTGGAGTTGTTCGCTCCAGGCGGTGTAAAAGGTGGCGAAACTGCTCATTTCAGTCGGGGTTAACATATTTGGTTGTGGGGTACTTGGCTGGGTTTAATTTTATAAACAACATTTGAGGGTTTATAAACGAACTTTCAATGTCGAGATCGGTGATTTGCAGACCATCGATTATGGACATATATCGTGATTTTTGTTGTGCTGCACTGTTTTGTGATCACTTTGGGAATACATGAAGAAGGTCAAACTGTCGGAAAAGAATTTGTAAGCAAAGTCAAGAATTGTGTTGAAAATTATAACGAAAAAAAAGTGTTTTGATGAAGACACTACGTATATAATAAATATTACTTTTTATAACTCCAACCCAAGAAGACTTTGGGCTTACTACCTACTAAGTGCATATTTTACAATTTCATATTTAACCCAATAAGATGATACGTGTCAGTATTTTATTGGTTAAAAATTATTAAATAAAAATTATATAAAATCAATTTAAGACAGAATATTTTAATTTTTTTATGATATAATAAATATCATATCATACCTCTGTATATGTGACACTTTTATGTCAACGTGTAATATTATATAACTTTACCATATTTTTTCTATACGTTAACCATAAGTTGACTAATAAACCTAGGCTAAGGAGTTATTTGTTTACAAAATTAATTAAAGGAAAAAAGAAGGAAAACTCAGCAAGTAGACTAGCGTATGTCATTGTCCTTTCGTGCTGTTAAAATAATCAGTTGATAGAACTTATACGTTATATTATAATATAAATTATATTTTAAATAAATTAGAATATATAAAATATATATTATAAAAATGAATATTTCTTTTAAAAACATTGCAAGGGCCTGATGTTTATATTTAATCAGTTCTGCTTCTGTTAGATTGTCAATTGTAAGATTACCGAACCATACTATTCTTAATTACCCAACCCAATATTAAAGCATTATGAACCAAATAATAATTGATGGAAAATAACATTTAGTTTAAATCAGCCCACTATAATAATAACATAAGAATTAGGTAAGGTTCCTTAACTTGCACTTTTGCATGCACCCAAAACAGAAAAAACCTGTGCTATTTTCACTCAATCCTCAAAATCCTAATTTTTCTTAAATAAAAAATTGCTTAGATCAATTTTAATATAGATTTATTGAAGATTTTTTTCGATTGTACAATAAATAAATAAAATTAATTATTAAGTGTTGTATTTATAAGATGATACATTTATCGTGATTTACAGAGTAATACTAATTTTCCACATTATACGCTTTTGTAAAAAGATCTATTATGTGACAATTCTCAAAAGAGAAAGTCACATTCAAATATCATATAAGAAATAGAATATTTATCGTGATTTATCATGTGATATCACAAGAAACACTTTTTATATGATACATCTTTATTAAAAGATTTGTCACGTGATTCATCGCAGAAAATCTATCATGTTAATAAAGACTTTACAAAACGTATATTTTGAGAAGTATTTTTCACTTGACACATCTTTATTAAAAGGATGTCATTTTGGTCAAAATATTGTTTAAGAGTCATTCTAGTAAAAAAAATATATTAGGTATTATTCCTATAATTTAATCAATTTATCATTCGATATCATTTACAAAATTAATTTTTTTGTGTTTACATATGTACACATATGTCTTAAATTCTAATAATATATTTGTTTTGTTGACCAAAATGATTTGTAAATCCATTTTTCTTATATATTTGTTTCATTTGTATATACATTAATAAGAAGATTTAGATTATTGAAAAAATATAATAAAATTTTGTTGTGATTCAATGCTACCATCAATATAATGTTTATTTTGTTATGTAAAATTTTCATTCAAATTTTGAATAATTTGTATTTCTCTTTTTTTTTTTTTTTTGGTTTCTTAGATCTCTGTCTTCTTCTCTCCAACATCAGATTTGCACAACGCCCAAAGCCAAACTGAAAGCAAAATAGCAGCCTCCAACAACAGAGAGTGAAAACGACGTCACATTTGAAACCTTTTCTTTACTCTTCAACCAAGCTGCTCGCTGATAGATCCCTTTCTCCCTTTTTTTTTGTTTCCGGATCTTCAATTTGACTTTATTACTTTTGTTTTAAGGTGATCGTATTTATGATCACCTCGTAGCTCAACTGCTCAACTGCTCTCTATTCCACGCCATTGCTCTTCTCTCTCTTCGGTAATGCTTCTTTCTTCTTTTTCTTCGTCGTCGTCGTCGTTTTTTTTTACTGATGTTTTATGATTTTCTTTTTATTTTACAGTTGAAGGAGGTTATTGTTTGATCCGGAGAAGAAATGGTGGTTTCTGGACCAATTACGCCTGGACAGGTACGGTTTTGATTTTTTATTTATTTATTGATTCAGTGGCTGCTTAAGTTTAAATTTAGTTTTTTTGAGACGAACACTGATCTGACTTTTTTTGGCATGAATGTAGCTTTTTTGCTAGCATTGACTTTATGATTTCTATGTACTGATTTGGATTCTGTTATTTTGTTATTGAGATTTTATACTTTTTTTAACTATATAGTTCCAAGGATCATCATTTCTCATAATTTTTACAATATTGTATTTAAATGTGTGCTTGGTTTTGTGTGAAGAGATTTGAAGGCCTGTAGCTCAGTCTCAGCTTAGAGAACGATTTAATGTAGTACTATGGTTGACTTTGATAATGCTAGTCTTGAATTATTGGGAAAGTTTTTGAAAATTTACTTATATTTGATGAAATCAACTTATTTGCATTTATTGCGGGAATCTTAGTTTTTTTATCAAGTAGAGAGGCGTTTACATTCTTAAGGCAAATGTCAGGATTCGAGCCCACATAAAGTGGGACAACACGAGCATCCTTGGTCACTCAGCCAATTAATGGATCTCAACTGGAATCTTATTTTCATTCAACAATTTACCGGCAACAGGGGTTTCCGTTTTTTCTTCTTTTAATGTTCTTTGATCATACCTGTATGTGTATATTTGATTCGTGTATGCCAAATTTAATATTGTTGTATGCACTAATTTTGCCTGAAATACTTAATGAAGCATTTTTTTTATTATGTTGCAGGTGTCTTTTCTTTTAGGAGTTATTCCTGTTTTCATTGCATGGATATATACAGAGTTCTTAGAGTACAAGAAATCTGCATCTCATTCTAAAGTGTAAGAAAAATGCTTCTTTTAGGAGTTAAAATGGATGCACAAATTTGATAAGGCTTGTATTCGTTGGATTTATTGACTTAAGTATTTGCTGATCCTAACGACTGAGTCTCAATTTTCAGCCATTCAAACAATAATCTGGCTGAATTAGGAGATGAGACAGTTAAAGATGATGATCGGGTTCTTTTGCTTGAAGGAGGTCTCACTAGATCAGCATCTGCTAAAGTCCATAGTTCAACCATCAAAACAAACTTGATTAGGTTTCTTTCTTTTCGTTTCAGTGTTGTAATGGAGTTTTCCACTATCAAACTCTTTAAATATCTTACCATTTCCTTCTTACGATTTTCCAGGTTTTTGACTATGGAAGACTCTTTTCTGCTGGAAAATCGAGCAATTTTGAGAGCAATGTTAGTCGTATGCAGCAATACACTTTTTTTTTGTCAAATTTCTTTTTCGTCATATGTTTAACTATGCAATCTAATGCAGGGCTGAATTTGGTGCTATCCTAGTGTACTTCTATATATGTGACCGCACAAATTTACTAGGAGAATCTACCAAGGTGCTTTAGTTCTTCTTGTTTGTGTTATTGATTGTAATTTGTTTTTCTTGATTTCCTCTCTTTTTTTTAAAAGCTTCCCGAGTATATTGTTGCATCTGCATGCCTAATGGGGTCTTGATTTTCATTTTTATATGTAATCATATTTTTTTAGTGCTTTCTGGTCATGATCTCATCTAACTTTCTTTTCAGTCTTTATTCCTTTCCCCTTCCCTATGAAAAATAGAAGATTTAATTTGGGTTCCCTATTTTTTTGAAGCTCTTCAAGTAAATTTCACATTCCAGTACCCTCGTAGCTCATTTTTTTTCTTCCATATTTTCCTTCTAGATGAATGTTATTTATACAAGCAATCTTGTTTCTTACCTATGTATTTGCATCCTTCCTTGAGTACTCAACTTTGGGAGGATGTTAATCTGTAATACTGTTCGTGAACACCATGTCTGTTTGCTAATAGTTCAATGCTACAAAAATGCAATGCATTGCCTGAAAGGCTGAAATTATTTTCTTCTCTCGTGGTTGGGCATATTCGATAGCTAAGTTTTTCTCTCTTTATATGGTTTTAAATGGATTTATATTCGAGGTTGAGTGCTTTGTTTTCACATGTTGATGAACACTGCAGGACATTATTTATCTATTTTATATTATTTCTTATGTGTGTTTCGTTATGCAGAAGTACAACCGTGACCTTTTCCTCTTCCTCTACGCTATTCTCATCGTAGTTTCAGCAATGACTTCTTTGACGAAACATAATGATAAATCAGCTTTCTCTGGAAAGGCCATGCAGTACCTTAGTAGGCATCAGACTGAAGAATGGAAAGGATGGATGCAGGTGAGTGTTTATTGTTAGACGTTCTTTAGATCTGCACTGATTGATAACTACCAATTCCTATCTCTATCAGATTACGAGATTACTTGTGTTTGCTGTTCCATTGGAATCCATGCTATCCACTGACCTTTTCTTCTACACCAAATAGGTTTTAATTTTTGAGTTTTATCAACTGAACTTACATGTCTATTTTGATTTTACAGGTCCTATTTCTAATGTACCATTACTTTGCTGCAACGGAGATATATAATGCTATTCGCGTCTTTATTGCTGCATATGTTTGGATGACTGGATTCGGAAACTTCTCATACTATTATATTAGAAAGGATTTCAGTTTAGCACGTTTTGCCCAGGTAATATTCTCTCTTTGAGCTATGATACCCGTATCAGCACTCCAGTTGTGTTCGTCATATTTTTATACCTATCTATGAAGCTGAGATCCTCACATAATTTGACGCAGATGATGTGGCGACTAAACTTTTTTGTGGCATTTTGCTGCATTGTTCTCAACAATGACTATATGCTTTACTACATCTGCCCAATGCACACGCTTTTCACCTTGATGGTGTATGGAGCTCTTGGGATTTTCAACAAGTATAATGAGAATCCTTCAGTGATGGCCATGAAAATTCTTGCATGCTTTCTCACGGTTATCTTTATTTGGGAAGTTCCCGGAGTTTTTGAAATATTCTGGAGTCCATTGGCTTTCCTTTTAGGTCAGCAACCTACCTACTTTCTTCCACATTTTATCTGAAGCTTAGAAAGTTCATGTCCTTACTCCCTTCAAATGGCAGGTTACACAGATCCTGCAAAATCTGATCTCCCTCGGTTGCATGAGTGGCATTTTAGATCTGGTCTTGACCGCTATATATGGATAATCGGAATGATATATGCCTACTATCATCCCAATGTAAGTTGTTAAAACTTGTTAGTTACCCGAAAGTCATGTCTCTTGGTGCACAAGTACCAATCTCATTACAATGTTTTGAATCTTAGGTCGAGAAATGGATGGAAAAGTTGGAGGAATGTGAACCCAAGAAAAAATTCTCAATCAAAGCAAGCATTATCGCGATTTCTTTATTCGTAAGTTGCCTGATCTTTTGATCATTATTATTTCGTGTATGCCTCTTGGTTTTTGATGGAAGCTTCTTCTTTTTGTGTATTTTCTTAAATGCTTCAGGTTGGCTATATGTGGTACGAATATATCTACAAGCTGGACAAGGTTACATACAACAACTACCATCCCTACACATCTTGGATTCCCATAACGTGCGTCAGAACGGTTTATCTTTGTAATTTACTTTGGAATACTTATATCGAATCACTTTAGTTCGATTTTCGGGATCTGACTATCTTCTTCTCTGCTTTCTTTTGATTCTAGCGTCTACATTTGCTTGCGGAATTGTACTCGGCACCTTAGGAGTTACTCTTTGACTCTCTTTGCGTATGTCTCTGGACTATAACTAATCCATTCAATCCCTGCCCTCACAAGATTGTGGATTATTTTTCACTTACCTACTTATGCTACATTTTCGTGCTTTCGCAGGTGGCTCGGCAAGATAACACTCGAGACCTACATTTCCCAATTTCATATCTGGTTGAGGTTTGTCACCCGATCAAAGTTTCGTTATTTAAATTTGTTTCTCAAAATTGATATCTATGTACTCGATTCTGGATTCTATAAACCATATGAAGCACTGAAGCTGTGAAAGAGTAGCAAGTTTCTTGGTTCTCATAATTGCATTTCGTGCATGCAGATCAGACATGCCTAACGGACAACCGAAATGGCTTCTTTCATTTATCCCGGAATATCCGCTGCTCAACTTCATGCTCACAACTGCCATTTATGTCTTGGTAAGAAAATTTTCTCTGCCCTTCCGTATTGCGCCAACGGTTCGATTTGTTCATTTTCCATTTATGCAGGTATCTCATAGATCATTCGAATTAACAAATACATTTAAGTCCGCTTTCATACCCACAAAAGACAACCGACGACTACTATATAATTTCATAGCTGGAGTAGCCATTTCCCTATGTTTGTACTGCACCTCACTCGTTATCCTTCAGATTCTCATTCAACTGTAAGCTCCAGTTCCCGACGAAGCATTATCTAATTCTTTTGACAACATAGCTTCTTCCGAGCAAGAGATTATCAGAATTCACAATGTTCATCACCCGCACATATCAATTCCACCATTACAGGCGTGAGAAAGCATGATTCATCAAGTTCGACCGAGCTGTTCTATGGAACATACGTGAAAAATACATATGTTTCCAACGAATTGAGTACAAATAGCCTCGATTTTTCGTAGCAACAGCTTTGGATCGTCGGGGACATCTACAATACGGAACATCCAGGCAGGCAACGAAGAGGAAGTAAATCTTATTTTTCTTTTACATTCTGCTGATAATTTGCAGGAAAAAAAAGAACTTTCATATAATGCGTTTCCTTTTGTTTTCAATTTTTGCGGGTCATTTATCGATGAAAATGTAGATTCTTTGTGACGTAATTCGAAATACTAAATGCAAATTTTCTTGTTTCCCTCAATTCCAAATTACAATAAAATTCACATTATACTTTAGAGGTCAAATTGTCTATAAACCATAATTTTAAGCATTGTTCCTTGGTTTCCTCAATGACAAATTAAAATTTATGTTTAATTAAAGAATGCAAATCCCGTCATTTTCTCCTGAAAATTCTAAGCTTCTTAAATGCCACACGAGAATAGAAGTAATGTCATTCACTCACACCAAAACTTCCCGTGCTAACGCATCCCATCACCGCTCATCACATCATAAAACGAGTGGATACCCACAATCCTCGACCGTCAGATTCGGATAAGTGTCCAAAAACACTCGCACTGAAACAGAAATAAGCAAATAATATAATCATCGTCCGTTAGATTCAGATTCAACGAGAAGACTCCACAGTCCACCACTCGTTGGGTGAAAATCACAGCATTTTCAATTATTATAATTATTACTATTACTTTTTTAAAATTATGCTATGCTTCCGGCTAGAGAAATCAACTTGACATTGATCCTAAGAAAACGGTGATTCTTTCTATTATTTAAAATTTGAAATTCTTTTTACTTTCGTCTTCTCGCTTTCCAAACAAAATTTTAAAAAATTAATGGAGAAAATTATGGCTGCAAAGTGTTCGATGTGCTTTTTCAACTATGGATTCAACGGTTTGAATAGAAGTAATAAGGATGTTGATAGTTTGAAGAAGAATTTGAATCTGAGGCTATTGTTCTCGGCTCCTCGTCGCTCGCATCCAGTTTATTGTAAATTACAGCAACGGAGACTCAGGTACTTTTTTATTTAAGCTTTCATAATTTTTAATTAATTTCTTAATTTGTTAGCTGTTGGATTTGTTTCTGATAATTTTTTGATTGGAGAGAAACTTTTTTGGCCTTAATTTAGCAAAAAGTAGACATTACTGGCTAGAATTTGATTTTGCAATGCATGTTAAACGCCGATTGGTACCTAATGTTCATGAGAGTATTGTGTGGTTAGCATTTTTTTAAATGCCATCACAGAGAAAAAAATGTTTGTGATTATATGCTATTTCTTGAACAACTCAATAAGCTTTATATCTTATAAATATGTAAACTTGGAGATGATGTGATATTTGATGTGGTGCTACTGATATGATCACCTTGTTTTGGCTCGCATTGATATTTATATATATGTATATGCAGTTTACATTATAAAAGACAACAAGGGAAGAAACCTCCTTATGAACGGATTCGAACCAGAGCAAAGTTGCGGCCGAACAGTGACGATGAATCTGAACCTGAACAATCTGTTCCTAGTAATGGAGATATGGAGCATATTGTTAGTCACGAGAAAAGTTTCGAAGACGAAGTTGACACTAGGGTAGATGCGGAGCATATTGATGAAAAGAATTCTGCCAAATTATCTTCCTCTGCTGTTGAGACTAACATAGATGTAGACCCTATTGATGAAAAGAATTCCGGCTCATTATCTGCCTCTGCTGTCGAGACTAACAGAGATGTAGAGCATGCTGATGAACAGATGGCTCGAACAAAAGTTTTGGTACTTTCATTTATCGATAAGCTTGTAGTTAATTTGAATGCAGATTGTGTTATTTGCTTCTGTTTCGTTTTCTTTGTCCTATATGCTACTTAGATATTTTAATTTGATTTGTTTATCTTTGTGAGTATTTCCATGAATGACGAAGTGGGAAGAATACATTCGCCATTGCCTAATTTTTGTGTTTCAGCAATTATGATAATTATGTGTCCTCAATGATTGTGAATAAATGCCAGAATCAAGGCAGTATATGGAATAATTATATCTTTGTCGAAGTTTCTTAATTAGGATTTTGATGAACTTTCTAAATAGAAAATTCATCACTGTGGATGTTTCTTTTGGCAGTTTGTTGTTACATTATCTGGTTGATAGTCATACATTTTTTATATAACGTTAATTCTCTTTTAGGTTAGGTTTATGGAGATATCAAGTCTTGGAACTATTAGATATACATGGTCACCTGCTTCTGTTTTTTTCGGAGGGAAAAAATTAATTCAAGGTTTAAAAATTACTGATAAGCCATTTTCTGTTTTTCAGGCCATAAGCGGAGAGCAACTCGCAGATGTTCAACCAGAGGACCTCATAAGCATGATAAAAACTGCAGAAAGAAGTAGGATACATTGCTGTTGAGAATTATTTAATTTATTTTTAAATAGTAGTCATATTAGAATCCTAATTTTTATTAAGGGATATATGTGCCAATGATTGTGTATGTATGTTTCTAAATGTATAGATATCCTTCTTCTCAATCAAGCTCGGGTTCATGCACTTGAAGATCTTCGTAAGATTCTTAGTGAGAAGGAGACATTACAGAGTGAAATTAACAGTTTGGATACGAGATTAGCTGAAGCTAATGCACAGATTAAAGCTGAAGAAAAGGTAAACGTAGAACAACTGGAAGGCCAGTTAGATAAGTTGCGACATGAGTTGATTAATAGGGGTGATTCTGGGAAGAGTGAGCTTGAATTGTATGAGAACCGAAATAAAATGTCAAATGAGGAAGCACTTTTTGCACGTGATGGTCATGTTCATTCTATTAGAAAGGAGGTTGATTCATTGAGAACAGAGAATCTAGCCCTAAAAAATGACATCCAAGCGGTTAAGTCAATGCTTAGCAATTTGGAGAACAATGATGAACGCATGGTAACACTGGAAAATGAACGCTCTTTTCTAGAGTCTACTGTGAAGGAGTTGGAGTCTAAACTGTCAGATTCTCAGAAAGAATATTCAAATATTTCTACTCTAAAGGTTGAATGCAAGGACCTATGGGAAAAGGTAGAAAATTTACAACGCTTGCTGGATCAGGTAACTAAACAGGCTGATCAAGCCCTTTTAGTGTTACAGCAAAACCAGGATCTTCAAAAGAAAGTTGATAAATTGGAAGAATCTCTTGAAGCGGCTAATTTCTTTAAGGCCTCATCTGAGAAAATCCAACAATATAATGAGCTTATGCAGCAAAAGATAAAACTATTAGAGGAGCGTCTTCAAAAGTCTGATCAAGAGATATATTCGTATGTCCAATTATATCAAGAATCTATAAAGGAATTTCAAGTCACCCTTAATAGTATGAAAGAAGAAAGCAAGGAAGGGACATTGGATGGACCAGTTGATGATATGCCTTGGGAATTTTGGAGCAGTTTATTGCTTACTATTGATGGTTGGGTGCTTGAGAAGAAATTATCAAACAATGAGGCAGTGCTGTTGAGAGAAATGGTGTGGAAGAGGGATCGACGTATTTGTGATGCTTATGTGGCATGCAAAGAAAAGACGGAGGATGAAGCTATATCTATATTTCTCCGGTTGACACCATCACAACCTAGGTACTGATATTTAACCAGTCAATTTTAATGCATTACTTCTGTTTTCTTTTTCCAAAAATAAAGGAAAAAACTTACAACTTTAATATTTTGTTGATCTTTAGTCCAGGGTTGCATATCATCTAGGTACTGATATTTAACCAGTCAATTTTACTGCATTACTTCTGTTTTCTTTTTTTCCAAAAATAAAGGAAAAAACTTACAACTTTAATATTTTGTTGATCTTTAGTCCAGGGTTGCATATCATTCATATAGCCGCTGAGATGGCACCAGTTGCTAAGGTAAGTCATAGCCCCTCATTTTTGCTTCTCTCGTGGCTAATTGTTATAGAATGTACATTATAAGATGTATCCTTTTTAGTGTTTTCTTTTTTCGACTTGGCACACTTAACCTGTCTTCATTTCTGATGTTGCATTCCCATTGATGCTAATATACAAGTGAGAGGAACATTTTTTCATTTTTAATTCAATTGTTCTTTATCAGGTTGGTGGTTTGGGAGATGTTGTGACTGGTCTTGGTAAAGCATTACAGAAGAGAGGACATCTTGTGGAGATTGTTCTTCCAAAATACGATTGTATGCAATATGACCGTATTTGTGACTTAAGGGTATGTTAGTGTAGTGGAGATTTGACAAGTACTATATATCATAGGTCGTATGTTTATGTTAATTTTAATTTTTCGAACAGGCCTTAGATGCAACGGTAAACTCGTATTTTGATGACAAATTATTTCAAAATAAAGTTTGGACCTGTACTGTTGAAGGTGAGACTTATATTGCTTTCTCTTTGACTTGCATGCCATGTTATTAGCTTTGCATTCTGAATGTGGGATTTAATTCACAGGTCTTCCTGTTTATTTTATTGAGCCACATCATCCCAACAAGTTCTTTTGGAGAGGGCAATATTACGGAGAGCATGATGATTTCAAACGTTTTTCATTTTTCAGTCGTGCAGCACTTGAGTTGATTCTTCAAGCTGGCAAGAAACCAGACATAATTCACTGCCATGATTGGCAGACGGCTTTTGTTGTATGACATTCAACCTCATGTTTCTTTTGGCACTGGATTTGTTGTTCTGTTGCGCTGAAGTTTTTCTCACTACTTTTTTAGGCACCACTCTATTGGGACTTGTATGCTCCAAGAGGTCTGAATTCGGCTCGAATATGTTTTACTTGCCACAATTTTGATTACCAAGGGACTGCACCTGCTTCAGAATTGGCATCATGTGGTCTGGATGTCTACCAGCTAAACAGACCCGACAGAATGCAGGACAACTCGGCACATGATATTGTCAATCCTATTAAGGTGCTGCAATCTTTGTTTTCACATATATATATATATATATATATTTCAATCTATTCTTTTTCTGATTTCCCTTATTTTCAGGGTGCAATTGTTTTCTCTAACATAGTGACAACAGTATCACCCACATATGCACAAGAGGTTCGAACCGCTGAGGTATGAATATTTTGTAGCTTTTCAGTGAACAACTAGGTCTGCTTTTCTAGTTTTGAGATTAATACGAATCACTGTTTTTTTTTTCTTTGAAGGGAGGAAGAGGCCTCCATTCAACACTTAATTTTTACTCAAAAAAATTCTTGGGAATCTTAAATGGGATCGATACCGAATCATGGAATCCTGCCACCGATATGTTTCTCAAAGTACAGTATAGCGCTTACGGTCTGCAAGGAAAGGAAGAAAATAAAGATTCCATGAGAAGGCTTCTGGGACTTTCTTCTGCTGATGATCGTACGCCACTGGTAATTTTATTTCTCAAGTCTTTTTAACATACTGAGATGTTTTATATTTTCTCTACACAAACTTTTGTGTGTATGCTGTGAATGCACGGTCACTTTTTGGTTCTGATAAGATAGCATAAAAGGAGTTCGCTTTTATTTTGTTAACCAACTACTCGTTAGTTAATGTAACTCATGAGTTCTAACTATGGTTTTTTCATTATCAAAAAGGTCGGCTGCATTACAAGATTGGTGCCGCAAAAGGGCGTGCACCTAATTAGACATGCAATTTATCGGACATTGGAGATGGGTGGTCAGTTTGTGCTTCTTGGTTCAAGTCCAGTTCCTCACATTCAGGTATATCTCTACTGTTGTTTGTTTATGTGCACCATTATGTTGAACCTGGATAGTTTCAAGGGTTCGCCTTGTTGTAGTCAAATAGGAATTGCTTATAGTGGATTATAGCATGAATAAAAAACTACCAAAAAGCCTCTTCAATCAGGATAAGACCGAAGCGATTTTGTCCGCATTCATTTATTTTATGTTTGATCTACTTTGTTATTAAACTTTGAGACATACTGGAAACACAGTGCACAGATACGACTGCATCTTTACTTAATACTGTATTAAAACGGAGACGCTGATTAATGATCTATAAATACTACACAACAGAAAGCACCAAGAGCATTAAAGTCTCCTTCCGGGCTTCTTTCATGCATTGAACAATGATAGTCCTTGTTTTATTTTAGGTTAAATCGTTTTCCTGTTCCATCTATTATTGACACCGTTAGACGAGTGTGATTCTTTATGTATTTTTATATTGATTCTTTTGCAGAGGGAATTTGAGGGTATTGCGAACCAATTTCAAAATCACGAACACATTCGGTTAATATTAAAATATGACGAGTCTCTTTCTCGTTACATTTATGCAGCATCTGATATGTTCATAATTCCATCTATTTTTGAGCCTTGTGGCCTTACACAGGTATGGTTCAAACTTCACCTTTAGTAATTAGTAATCTTGTTCAGCAGAAAACTAAACCGGAACATGTTTGTTTATTCCTGTTACCGTTAATCTTATAAACATCCAAGCCTCCGTTTAAGTTTCCCTTTCCTGCTCTCTTACCAGATGATAGCAATGAGATACGGTTCAGTTCCGATTGTAAGAAAGACCGGTGGTCTAAATGACAGGTGAACTACTTTACCTTATCATTGATGACAATTCTCTAACATGAAGTTACTTGTCTGAAAAATCCTAAGCTTATTCCTTTTATTATTTTCTGCAGTGTTTTCGATGTTGACGACGACATGATACCTCACCAATGCCGAAATGGTTTTACGTTTACGACTGCTGATGAACAGGTAATCATAATTTCGTTATTGACGAGACGTAATTAACCAGCATTCTGGGTTCACTAATTAGTTTTAATCATCCTAGCCTCATGCATCACCCTCTTTTTCTGTCGGATATTGCCGTTTCACTTTCCGTTATGACTGACAGGGACTAAACGGTGCGATGGAGCGTGCATTTAATCTCTACAAAACCGACAACGAGAGTTGGCAACAACTCGTCCGAAAAATCATGAATATAGATTTTGGCTGGGAGTCTTCAGCATCACAATACGAGGAACTTTACGTGCAATCTGTCGCCAGAGCAAGGGCAGCCGGAAGTCGCACTTAAGATTCAGTTTCGAAGGTTTTTCTTTTTCGTTTGAGCGAGTATAATATTTATCGACATCGATTATAAGCGAAAGGTTATCCGTATATTTACTGCTAACAGTTCAAAAGTATACTTACAGCTGAAGATTACGGCAGAGTTAAAGCTGCATTGGTGAAATCATTTTTCCCCTTTTTGTAATATTAAACCACACCATAGATACTGTTGATAAAGCTTTAGGTATTTATGTAATACATATAAATATTGTTGTAATATATGTTTACTATGCTTTTGTTATTTCTTTTGGTCGAATTACGGTTGCTGTCCCTCTATGATGTTCAAATTTGGAATTTCGTCTCTGTATGCCATAATCTCATTTCTCTACTAACGTTTATTATCTTTCCTTTGAAGCATCCCTTTTATCATACCAGTCACAATGGCCTGAACAAAGAGCCCAAACATTGAAAACATGGCCAACCTCCCATTCCCTTCACCTTAAGCTCAGCAAATGCCTCTGGGTCGTAGACGAGAGTCGATGGGTCAAAACTACCTCTCAGGGACAATGGGTTCGCCACCTCGTCGAGCGATCCGGTAACCCTCACACTCCTCAAGATAACTTGACAAGCCCATATGACTAATACGCATTGTTCATGGATCAAGCTTGGGTTACCCAAATAGGCAAGCTCACCTTCACTGAAACTTTGTGAACCGGCCTTGAACCATATGGCCTCAACGAATTTGACCCCATTTCTAGCCAAGACTTCAAGGAATAAAAATAGGTAGAGGAGACGAATTTCATAATAATCGAGGATAAATTGCAAGAGAACAGATTAAACATTAGAACTCTTTCTCTCTCTACGTATGGTAGTACAAACATGATAACTTTAGTTGAATAATACTGTACCATATCGTGAAGGTTTTGAGACTCCTCGCATTTATTTTAGATCTCATTTTCTTCAATTTATTTTTGAGAAAATAACTTCAGTGACCAAAAATCTCATATAATATACGATTTTAACCAATTTTTTCCGGATTTGCCAAAATGACCAACGAAATCGCAATGCGATCGCTAATTCGCAACGCGATCTCCATTATCGCAAATCAGTTTCCAGATTCGCAACGCGATTATGACTATCGCAATGCGATTTTCCAATTTCGCGTTGTGATTTTCCCAATTCGCAATGCGAATAAGTAAATCGCAATGCAAATTTGGAAAATCGCAATGCGAATTTGGAAAATCGCAATGCGATACTGACTATCGCAACGTGATAATACAAAATCGCAACGCGATACTGACTTTCGCAACGCGATACTGACTTTCGCAACGCGATTTTGACTTTCGTAACGCGATTCTGACTTTCGCAACGAGATTCTGACTATCGCAATGAGATAATACAGAATCACAATGCGATTTTCAAAGTTCACAACAGGTTTTAGTTTCGCAACACAAATTTTTTGGGTATATATCTACGCAGCAGCAACAACTCATAACCTAAATCCCTAAATTGCAACTCATTCCATCTCCATCTATCACTCTCTCCGGCGACATCCGTTCCTATATCCGTTCCTATATCCTTCCCCATCCGGCAACAGGTCTTAGTTTCGCAGCTCGTTTGTTTAGTAAATTAATTTACAACCATGAAATCATCTAATGTTGATCATGTTTGGATAGATTTGTGTTTTGGAGGGTCATGGGAGAATGTTCATGGTGTTTTACAATATATGCCTTTACCCATGAATCTTCAACTAAAACTGTCATTAAAAAAGTTAACTTATGAAACTCTAATGTTACGTGTTTCAAAGAAATTGAATTTAGAGCCCCTAAGTGGATTTAGGCTATCTTATCAGAGAAATGGTAAAGTTTATTTGTTAACCGACAATGAAGATGTTGAACGATTCATTGCTTATATTAGTGTTTCAAGTGATGATGTTACATTGTATGTTGTTGAACCTAGAAGTAGTATTGTTGGGTCAGTAGCGGGTAGTAATCAACTAAGTTTTTCCTCAAAACCCACAACCTTTCTCTAATCCAAATCCCAATCAACTTTCAGCACCAAATTATGGTTTTCGTATTGACCAATTAGACGATGATGAGCCAACAGAAAAAATTGTGAGTACTAGTCAGTATTCGAAATTTGATCTTGGTCAATACCCGGACTTTGATATTGGTCAATACTCGGATTTTGATGATGTTTCAGAATAAGAAACAGACCCTGCGTGTAATGATTTTGATATTGGTCAATACCCGAATTTTGATGATGAAACAGCCGTTGCCGAGGAAGATGTTGTTGATGATAATGAGTAGGAAGTTACGACTGTGAATGAACATGTTGAACATCCATTCTGTAATTCATATAATCCTGACGAAGAAAAAGAAGAAGAAAAAGTTCCCGAAGAAAAGAAAATGCCACGGGAGTATAACTGGAATATGCCAGAATTACTTCATATACCGGAAGAAGAGTTGGTAAAGAAAGCAGTTGATTGTTACACAAAAGTTATTCGTATCAAGAAAGATGATTGTTTTGATACAAATGAAGACTTGAAGATAGCTTTGTATACGAAATGTGTGGAAGATGGCTATCAACTAAAAGTTAACAAATCAAGCAAAGATCGTTTCGAAACAAGGTGTATGATTGACGAAAACTGTACGTGGCGTATGATTGCAAAGAGGATAAAAGATTGCGAAATGTTTCAAGTTAGAACTTTTATTGATAAACATACATGTTCAAGAACCCAAGTTTTTTCTCACCATAGACAGGCAAACAAAAAGGTGTTGGGTGGTTTTCTGGCTGAGTTAATGTTTTTGAATGGCAGGGTATATCGGGGACATGAAATTATGACTGACATGAATGCTCGGTTCAAGATTAGTATATCATATTCTCAAGCTTGGAGAGCCAAATGTTATGCCTTGGAATTGTTGAGGGGGTCGCCAGAAGCATCATTTGCCCAACTGTCGGCTTATTATCACAATTTAAAGCTGAAAAATCCTGGGTCGGTAACTCTTATCAAAACAGATAGAGATGGACGCTTTGAGTTACTGTTTATCACCATTGGTGCTGCGGTTAGTAAATCAATATAATTATGTTGACTCATTTTTGTTAGTTACATGCATTTCACATTTAAATGATTATATTTCTTGTGTATATTATTTTGTAGATTCGTTCGTTTATTACTTGCATGCGCCCAGTTATTATAGTTGACGGAGCACATTTGAAAGGTCAATACCTTGGAGTAAACTTATTAGCAGTAGCCATGGATGCTAACAATGGGATATTGCCAATAGCTTACGGGGTTGGCAAATCTGAAATCTCTGATTCATGGACATGGTTTATGGGGCATCTTAGGGATTGCATAGGTCCTATTAGCAATCTGACAATCATATCCGATAGGGCAAACTCAATTGACAACGCTGCTAGAAGGTGTTTCCCAGATACTTTTCATGGACTTTGTGGTGTTTATTTGTATAGAAATCTAAAATCAAGGTCTGCTGGTATAAAAAATCACAAATGGACATATTGGAAGGCTGTAAAAGCTTATTGGGAAGTTGATTTTAATAAGCATATAAACTGTTTAAGACGTGTTTTGCCTCAGTGTGCTCATAATTAATCAACGCTCTAAGTCGTCATTCCCGGAAATTACCCATTACTATGTTAATGGAGTTTTTTTGAGCCTCTATTCAACAGTGGTACTACAAGAAAAGAAACCATGCAGGTATTATTTCTTTAAATTCGCAACTTATCATATATTTTACTAAGTATTATTTTAAATTTACAGGAACATTGGAACATCGTGTTACACCATGGACAGAAAAAAAGATAACGAAACGTGTTGTGAAGTCACGTCATGGAGAGTTGAACCATGTTCAAACACTTGTTTGAAGTACTGGATAATAACTTAAATGGGCTTGTCGATCTAAATGCAAAGACGTGTAGTTGTATGAAATGGCAAACATCTGGTTATCCGTGTGGCCAGTTACACCATGGACAGAAAAAAAGATAACGAAACGTGTTGTGAAGTCAACGTCATGGAGAGTTGAACCATGTTCAAACACTTTGTTTGAAGTACTGGATAATAACTTAAATGGGCTTGTCGATCTAAATGCAAAGACGTGTAGTTGTATGAAATGGCAAACATCTGGTTATCCGTGTGGCCATGTTATAAAAGTTTCTCTTCATCTAAACCAAGATGATTCAAGCGCATACGCTATGGATTGCTACACTACAGAAGTATATCGACAGACTTATGGCGAGATTGTCTACCCTATTCCACATCCTTCTGAGTGGGACATACCAAATGACTTACAAACTGTTTTGCCACCAGCCATGGACAGAAGGCTACGTGGCCGACCAAAAAGTCACGATCGTATACCGTCTAAGGGTGAAGAGAAGAAGAGATCGACATGTAGTCGGTGCAAGGAAAGTGGTCATACAAGGTTGACATGTGGATCACCAGTACCATCACAATCATCATCTTTTCCTCTACCAAAATATGGATCCTCATCAAAATCCAAAGCTCATATGGTGTCAAGCAAAAGGCAATCAAAATCGCAATCATCTTTAAAATCCCAATCACAACTGGCTTCACCTTTTGGGACTGTTAACTTAGGTGATTTTTAAATGCAAACGTTGTATTATGTAGATTTTATGTGTGAACTTTTAACATTTTCAGTTAGGCATGTATTAGTAACTTGAGTTTGAAAATTGCTATGATATGTTCAGTTATTATCACTTATTAGGCAATCATTTGATTATCGCAACACGGAAATGACGTTCGCAATCATCTTAATGTCTATCGCAACGCGGAAATGACAATCGCAATGCGAAATGAAAATCGCAACGAGAGAATCGCAATGCGAAATGAAAATCGCAACGAGGGAATCACAAAGCGAAATGAAAATCGCAACGCGAATTTAGTTTCGCGTTGCGATTTTAGTTTCGTGTTGCGATTTTATCGTTGCGATTTTCATTTCGCGTTGCGATTTTCATTTCACGTTGCGATTTTCATTTCGCATTGCGATAGTCATTTTTGCCTTCAACATAATGCAGATTGAAATCAACAAAATCAATCATTACATTTCAATCAATTAAACAAGCACAAATAAGAATTATGTTCACATCAATTAAACAAATCAACTTTTACAAATCATCTTTTACAAATCAATTAAACAATAAAAAAATAAGCAATAATTCTTATTTCCTCATCTACTATTGAATCAACTTTTACAGCCATACA